TATCTCTGCCCTTGCTTGCTGCCGTTCCCGTACGGTACCATCCTGCTGTCCACCGCATTACTGGACACGAACGCAGATTTCCTGCCCACTTCAGAGTTAAGGCTGGAGGACGCAGCCACACCGAATTCGAGCTCCCCTCTGGTGGTCGGCGAAGGGCAATGGCGTATCTTGCTAGCGCCGGTTCTTCGCTGTTCGGGACGGCTGAATGTTGGCTACGCAATGGCTACCCTGCTAGATCTTGGTTATCGACTGGAGCGAAAAGTGGGCACCGTTCGCTTTCTGGTCGACGCCGCGATTCTGGCTATCGTCACGAACGTCGCCTACTGCCTGACAGCTCACTATGTTCTCCTCAAGCGCGATCAAATCGCTGGTGCGAGTCCTGCCCAGATGAGCAACAAGCGTGTCGTGGGACCGACGCCCATCTTGCTCGCTCTGAAGGCGCTCTACGGCGGCGGTAACTGGCTGAGAAAATACCCGCTGCTGTTTCTCTCCATTCCGCTACCGAGTTTCGTGGGCGCCATACTCAAAATCGTCCTCCTCGAATACGTGCTCCCCGACTCATCGGCAGCCGGTCACACAATGGGTTTCTCTGTCGAACTGATGATGTCCTATGTGCTACCACAACCCTTACAAACGTAAATTTATATTTCTACAGGCATTTTCTGCATGGAACTACTGTACTCTGAACTCAGTGGGTTCCCTTCATATGTTCGGCGGACTCGCTTGCTGGATTCCGGGCAGACCGGTTGTGCGCTCGCGCGCTCCGCGCGCTTGCGATCTCCGGCGTCAGCGTAGCTCTGGCCGACTGGGCTCACCCTACGTCACCTCCTGCCGCCGACGACCTTCGACGACAGTGAAGCTCTGACCGACTGGACTTGCTCTACGCCATCTACCGACGCCAAAAGGAGCTCTCGCAGGTGTGCCCCGTCCTCGGACTCCAGTGACCGTGCTCCCATCTTTCCTATCTCTTCTATCCCCTCAGTTTGTCGTCGCTCGCTCTGGCTTACCACCTCACGTCTCTTCCTCTCTTCCCCTTCTTGCGCTTTCCTACACCTTTACTCCTACCCCTTTTTATCCCTCCTCACCCCCATCCCTTGTGAGCTACTGTGGAGGTGTCGCTCACTGAAGCAGACAGTAACGGGGCTCACTTTTCCTTTCTCTTTTAAGAATCACTTTATCACTTCATATGTTCGTAGATGCTGTAAATCAAAAGCAATAGTTGTGACAGGTTATCCCAATATTTCGCCGCGCGTAGCTTCGAGTCTAACACTTGTTCCTATTGTCCAACAGACTCCAACCAACCATCCTTTCACGCGGCTGTTGACTTTGGCACGTACGCTTAGCCAGCACAGGCGATGTCTTTTTCTGTCGTGTTGTGTACAAAAGCAGAAAGCACCATGATCTTGAAAATGTAACAGAGCAACTTCCAAGCGCCCTCTCACATAGAAGTGTAACAGCTTGGGCTAGTTTTGTTTTGTGTTTTGTTCTCACGCTATAACTATCGTCATGCCCTCTCACAAGCCGCGAACTCATTCCGAAAAGCAGGCTTCCCTGCATGCGTACCGTTACGGCGAAGAAGCAAGCTTTGGCGAACAATATGTTTCAACGTTATAAACGAAAATTGCTCTAGGATGTTGCTAGCGTAAAAAAAAAAAAATTCAAGGTTTGATTTAATCTTGCCCGAAAGCTGGATTTAGGATGTGAGACAATGAGGCAAGACAGCGTAGCCGCAAGTGGTTACATTTAAGTGAAGTGTTGACACGAAATGTTTAATATGTGCGAAAAAAAATAATAACTTGGCGCAGCTGCGAATGTCTGCTTGCTGCGTAGGTAATAGTTCTGTTCTTATTACCAAAATACAGACTTTACGACACAACAATAAAGCTTTTCGTTATCATAAATTCATTTGAAAAAAAAAATCTGCCGAATTTCGCCGACTCGTCGCGTGCGTAGAATTTCATGCAGCGAAGCAGACGCGCATTGGCAGACAACCAATATTTCATTACGTTGTTACAAGTGCGCGCATAGAAACATTATCGAACTATCAGCTAATAACATTAACCAACATTACTAAGATCTAGGATTAGTCCATGAAGTGTACTAGGCTTAGCAAAATCTGCGCCAATTCTTTTTCAGTGTAATATCGTAACGAGTATTTCATCCTAATTACTTGTAAATGTGTATGCTAGACAACCAGGCGCGTCCTCGGTTAACCTCCTTCCTTCCATTTAGCTTCTCTCTCTCTTCTTGCATAATTTTACCTCGAAAAAAAAAATAGTTGTTTAATGCTGACCCCCCTCTCTCATTGTTTCTAAAACCCACAACTAATGTGCCGCACTTAACTTGAGATAAATTAAAGGACTTTCACAGACACTTGCCATGATACGTCAGCTAACCTGTTGAACACAGTAGCAAATGCGGACTTCGGATAACACGTGCGAAGCTCTACCAACTGAGCTGCAGCGCTGGTCATCCACCCGTCCACTTTGTGTTAAAGCTGGGACTATTAGTCAGCGCCGCTAATAGACATGAAAGCAAGTATGAAACAATCTTTTTTCCTTTTACTGGCGTCACGAAGCACGTGTTTCTTTTTTCTTAAATTTTTAATTAGCTGGCAGCTGACCAATAGTCTCTCGTATGCTACCTCAAGGCATTCGGCCAATCAGAACGAGACCCTCGCTATGAATGAGCGAAAGGGGGGGGGGGGGGGGGGTGTCAATTTTAAGGGCTCGTTTTAAACAGACAAGAAAGCCAAGGAAATAACAGGGAATTTTATTTCACAGTGATTACGATGTTAAAGGTAAGATGACGAATTGTTGATAGCTTGATGGAAATGCTCGGCATAACGGAGTTATGAAAAATGTGTGCCTTGATTCTTGTGCTTTTGAGAATGTTTTCTACACGCACCCGTTGTATGAAGTGGTGCTTTATCGTGTTTGTTGTTGTGCCTATTTGACAATAATATTCCAATTACGGTTACGTGAATGCTAATACAGGACACGCAATTTTGCTTCGCTACATCAACAAAGCTGCCAGCACACAGCGAGCTAAATCTGCGCATTCTATCATATGTCACGAACGAGCTGGGTCAATAGCAGGTCACGGATCTACCCGGTACTTAACAGCCCACGCCATTTCGGGCTGACCAACGAAAACGACACAAAGGTTTACGACCGACGTAGAACTCACGGCTACGCTGTAAAGCAGTACTGGAAGCTGGCCAACACACTAGTTAGTATGTATATGTAAGGGCGAGACCAAATCGAAATAGCAAACGAAAAAAAAACCAGGCCTGCGCGGAACGCGCAGCACAGTCACAGCGAAAGCTGCAAGAGCGGCCCTTCTAGAGCCTTTTTAAACACTCTTATTGACAACCACTGCAAGCGCACTTGAATGTTCAAAACGAAACTCCTTTCGTTTCACTTAAGGGAATGGTACATAAGTGCTAAGTACTACCACTCGAGGACGCGGGCTCGATTCCCTGCTAAGGAGGTCGCATTTCTAAATGACGAAGTGCAAAGACGCTCACGTACTTATATTTAGAAAACTGAGGCAGAAAAGAAGAAAAAAAAAACATCTGGTGCGTTCCAGTCAGGGGTGTCTCATGATATCGTGCTTCACGAACACTCGTTTAATTGGAGACCGTAGGGACCAGCTTTGTCAGTAAAAGCCGTCAACATACATTCGTTAGAAAAGCTTCAAATTCTTTAATTTTACCCCAGTGAACGAACTACAAGCACCGGCGTGGCTCTGTGGTGGTGAACAAACTAAACTTCTTTGTGCCCTGTCTCGAATATGATCGCCCTCGCGAGAGGTCTTTTATTGCGCGATATATAATTTCAACGCCGATATGCTATTTTGTCTTTCGAAATGAAGTGTGCGGAAACAATATTTTCGCTGCACGTACGCTTGAACATGATTGGCCTACAGGGACAATACCTTTTCCATTTGTTTGCCTTGAGCAGTACTTCAGCCGTATCCGGTGCCCACTTCTGAACACAAGATGTGTCGCGTATCCACTACGTCCACCAATGAGCCCATGATGAGCACAGCGACCACTTCACGCTCTCGGACTGTGAACGGTTGTAGCAGCCAGCTGCGGTTTTTGCCTTTTTGGTCTTGGCGGCTGGATTATGGCTGGATTCTCTTGGCTGTTTACCGGCCAGCAGCGTTTCACATGGTTGCCGGACTCTTTACGGTTTGTACGCAGCCGTCTCAGGGTAGGGACGGTCTCAGGGTCATACTTTCGGTTAATTTTGTTTAGCCGTACTTCACAAGGAGAAGGCTCCCTTGCCTATGAACGGCCCACTAAAGCTGGTATTGTACAGATTCACCAGCATGTCTGTATGAGCAGCTTTGGCTTATATCCGTATAACGCTGACGTTGCATAAACTCTGCCACCTGCTTCTGGAAGGCCGTGTTGACCAGCTCAGACCCAGTCGTCCAGTTAAGGGTCGTGGAGTGGGCCACACAGGTCGCCGCCAACCTTGGGTTGACAGCCATCTAACACGGAATCATCCTCAGTTGCTTTCTGACGAAATAAAGTTTTTCCATCTATCTATGCCACCTGCTTCTCTGCCATGCCAAAAAAGGGTATCATTTATTAAATACTACAGGCGTGCGCCCATTTAACTTATTATCGTTCAATATACTTAATATAAGAGAAGGGTTGCAGTAGCATAAATTGTGATTGTCAAAGCACTGTTCTTAATCATATTTCGTAGAAAGATTGCATACTTGGTCTTAATATAAAGCTGACAAATTACCCACCTAGGATGAATGGAAAACAGGATAACGTAGCCTTTGTTTATTAGCGATCGAGCTAGTTGCTACCAAATCGCCAAGGCGATCATGCATCTTGCAACTTGTTCTTGCACCTGAAACTTGGCGTGAGAGGGAATTGGCGAGTTCTGTGAGGACAACACAGAGAAGTACTCCCACTGGTATGTGTGTGTTGAATCATGCTGTCTGGTTCCTTCAGTACAACAGAAATTGTCCACTTTGAGTTTCACAAAGCATGACATGTTTTATTTACAGTGAAAAACATTGTGCTGAGGCAACATCACAACTTCGACAGAAAGGAACAAAGGCACTGTGGTACAGACTGCAATGCTTGTTCGCACATTCACAAAAATAGAGAGAGCAAAGTATCATAAGGCACTGCATAGTTTCACGTTCAAAGTCTTGAAAGCAACAGGTTCAACACTCTCTTTGATAACTAGAAATGAATTATATTGCAGAACCATACATAAAAGGAGCTCCTGGCAGAGAATTAAAACTTACTTTCGCTATCCGTGGGCCACGGGCGTGCCAAAAAGCGTCTGTACAACGAGCACCAAACAATGCTCAAAACTAAAAACTTCGATCGTGTCCAAAGTTTCCATGGCTCCACAACACCATATTCTACATGTCGGTCAAACGTCTTGAGTATCCAGTGAATTCTTCGAAACTATTCAAAGTTGCACCATGAGCACGTTGAGTGCCATCAGTATTGAAAGTTCCCCAAGTCGAAGTTTTAAATTAATAGACCAGCGTAATACTTTTTTACAGAAAACATCTTGCAAAAAAAGTGACGTTCGTAACTGCTAATATGGAAAGGTAAAGCAAATTGAACTCTTATGTCTTTTCAGTAAAGTGAGGCACAGTTATATGCGAATGTTTATAAAAGCAATCTCAAATGTTCAAACAAGTACCCCGAGGACATCATGCAAATGATCAAACAATTGTGAAAATTCTGTATGGCAGCAAGAAATGAGATATCCCTCATAATGAGAGCTCTCCGTAGGGTAAAAAATGTGGGACAAGTGTATTGATCACCTTTCTGCAAAGACTCACTACGTACATTTTTTACAGCAAACTTCTTGTTTACTTAAGTAGTTCAACAAGGATGCGGAAGGGAGCAGACATCTGCACAAGCACATAATCTTTGCACTTTTTGTTCAGGAAGTGCTATTCTTGTGAAACACTCCCTTATGTACCCACTTTGTACCTTACGCATCGGCAACGATGAGACACACTGAGTAAGGATCAAAATTGTAAACGACGACACATGTACAAACGTGCCACACTCTTCTGCGAGTTTGTTAAAACAACAAAGAGGGATTATGTACAGAAACAGGAGACAAGCAAATGTAATGCACTAGCAGGGTCTTTGAAATGGCTAGTGCTGTGATGTACAGCTGACAAGGATTAAACACTACCAAGGAACCACACAGTATCGGAAAAAAAAATCACCATTACGCTGTAGCAGCAGTAGGGCGTGAAACTGAAACATTATATAAAGTACTCATAGAATTTGTCCATATACGTGAGACGAGTACAGAAGTACCCAGAAGGCATTTGTTGAACATGAGACAGCTTCAAAACAACACCTGCATTAGGATGAGACGAACAAGACTGTCACTGTTACCTTGGCGCTGTCCAATTTGTGACCAGTGGTACCTATGAGTGACTCAACATAATTAAACACACCATCAAAAGAAACAAAACAAACTGAACACTGTCTAAACTAAGGTAGGATGTTAAGTAGTTTACCAGTTTTTGTGCATGTTCCTACAAATATTGCAAGGGAGTACCAAGATCATGATGATAAATTAGGTATAGTACACACAAAAAATCGCCAGCATGACAAGATAAAAACATTTTGCAGTGGAATCTCATTGATCAGATACCCCATAATAGATTTTTGGTGATAACGTGCCTGAGCATGCTTTCTTATGCTTTTTGAGCTTGCTCTGGAGGACACTATTTTCAGATTTTATTCCTCTACATATTATTTCCAGTCACCAGTGAAGACTGTGCCAATGAGGTTCCACTGCATATATTATGATGCAACATTATGCCTCTTACAGGGATGCTGAGTGTAAAACGGATTACACTTCTTGTGCAAGACAAGGTGTTAGGCAAGATTCACTGGCAAGTCTGGCAAGTTCATGAAAATTTGCTTAGAACTTTGATTACTTAAATTATGTGCACTTTGAGATCTTTTCCCCTTAGAGTCTCGCTGTAACCTTCAGCAACAGATGATTAACTTGTCATAAACATGAACAGAAAAAAAGGTTTTGCTTGAAGCAAGCGACCCCGACTACCAAGACCAATAATTATGGGCTTGATATGTCTGCATAGCCAAAGCAGTACTGCAGATAGCGAAGCAAGGCTTATAATGAACGGCACAGTGTGGCACGATATAAGAAACAACACCTGTCACAATGAGCAGAAGTATGTAATGCTTGCTGTGAAATCGACATTTTTGTTGGAACTAAAACCGATGTCGTTCGAAATTTAATGGACTGCCTCTGCCATAAGTAACTTAATGCTTTAATTTGAGCTGTTAGCATGTTTACACTGTGTTTCTTACCAGATCTTACACTGAGCAAAACTGCAAAACGTGAAACTGTTGAGAACTATTTTTCAGGGATTAGACTTCCACAAGTGAACCTACCTGGTTTCATTAGGGTAATGACGTTCTGAACAGACACTGTGCCAAGGTTGAGAATGCAAGGAAATGAGAGCCCGGCATGTACGATGTACTTGCGCCATGTTATTGATAAATTTGTAAAAACAACCGTACACGATCCGGCCTAGCGGTGCATGTCAAGAGGCTTGGGCTGCTTAGTTATATGATGATGATCGAATAAGTGAAACAGATGATGCTAGATTTGCTGGGCTTCCTTAATGAACAAGAACATTAAAGAAAGTGTTCCTGTGTAACGTAAGTGAGCACCGGTTCAAGCTTGATGACTGCTGTATACAATAGTTCAGAAGCAGTTCCGCAAGCAAAATGAAGCAACAGCTTTAGTATCTAGCTCACTTGTTTTCACAATAACAAATATGATCAGTAAATATGGTTTTTCTGTATTCATAGAAAAAAAAAAGAACTGCTGAGTGAAGATTAATGCAACAAGTGGGATAATGTCGGCTAATGGTTGGCTAACTTTCATGTTGCAATAAAAATGTTATCAGCTTGAGCTCCCCGAAATTTCCGAGCTTTTTCCGAGTATGAGAGTTATAACAGTGTTTTGATATTTATAGAAAAAAAAAAAAACAATCCAGCGCAAGCCAACAAAAGTTGAGCGGCAAGAAGTTTGGCCCCCATAAAAATGTCTTGCACAGGTGCTGCCCAACAGCATATCTCTTATAATGCAGCACCCTAAACATGAGAACAAAAAGGTCAATCACGAGCGAGCAACTACAGCAAACAATGCTGACAATCAAGGCACAAATAACACTCACTTTGAGCAAAAAAACCAAGAGCATAAGAGGCACAGCCAGAGTTCTAACATCAGTTTTCTTGCAGTCACTGTGTAGTGCACGTCACTTCTTCGACCATAAATGTGCTCGTGACAGCATGGATGCGGCCATTCTATCAAACTCAACAGCCACAAACATGCTGCGAATGGGCAAAGCCCGTCACGAGGTGCCATGTAGTGTTCTTGCACTTGCATTTTCCTTGCTAGCACTGCAGCACACTTAGATGCGCTGTAGTGTGAAGTCTGGCCCTAATGAACTAGGTGCATTCAAGACCTTAAATATTGCCACGCTCTTGGGCTAAACGTTTGCAAACATGCTGTGAGGGGGCCAAAGCCTATCACAAGCTGCAGGCAAATGTTCTGGCTCTTGCATTCCTCTTGCTAACGCTGCACACTTGTAGGCATTGAAGTGTCTTGAAGTGTGAAGGCCGATCCTTACGGGCTGGTTTCTAGATGCATCAAAGACGATTACACCTCTAGGTTGCCTCCATTCTTTCTTTCGTGACTCTCGAAGCACGTCTGCTGCCGATGACCAGTCTTTTTTTTTTCGCACCGTACAGCCACATGCACACACACACACGCACACACTGCATTGTTTTCCAGGCACATCGCAAAGTCTGTCAGATGCCAAGAACTGTGCAGCTGACTCTGCGAGCGCTCCTCTGTGCGTTCGCAAATGTTCGGCTACAACAGAACAGTCCTCCAAGCCGCGTTCAAGCTCACACGATTATCTCTCGCACGATGCGTCGGTTCCTCGAGTTCGGAGTGGAGTAGCCGGATTCGAGACTTTCATCAAATGACAATGAGATCTGCGGGTTCTTGTCTTCATCACCCATGGTGGCATAGGGATCGGGAAGCCCACTGACGTCGTAGTAGGGGGAATCTGAAAGGGGCAAAGAGACAAGCAGTTGACGATTTGAATCAACTTTTACTATGCTCATCAGATTCCAAACAAAAGTCTCAAGCAGCTATATTTGTATATTTGTAAAGATACCAACTTGCACCAATATATTCCACTTCTTGAACCCCTTTATAAGAGACACTGATGTAAGAGAAAAATGGGTATAAGAGGCACCAGTGTGCCAACGTTGACATAGGTGTTTCACTTTCACTTTATTTCCTTAAAGGCCCAATGTAGGGGGCATTACATAAGAGGTGGGACATGACACTTGACCGTTCAGGATGAAAAATGAACTCTTGCAGCTTCAGTGAAAGCTTCTGGGTTGGTGATGGTAACAATAACGTGGGAAAGGCTGTTCCGGCGTACAATGGTGCGTGGAAAAAAAGAAGACGAGAAGGTGACAGTGCAGGTTTGGGGGCGAGCTATACTCAAGGAATTGCTCAGTACGAAGAGATACACAAGCTGGTGGTAAAGGTAAGGGGTCCGATTGAGTGAGCTGTGGTACATCTTGTGTAGTAGAGATAGGCTGGCAATGCGACGGCGATGGGAAAGGAGGGGGCAGGCCTGATTCCGCCTTTAATGAGGATACGCTTACGTTGTATGAATATGATGAGTGATTGAACCTGAGTGAATAAGGAAATGAATACATGGTACTCTGCTCATAAGAGACGCCTCATGTAAGAGGCAAGAATTGCTCCCCAGCGCATGTCTCTTATAAAGGAGTTTAACTGCATACTGAAACAAGCTCTCGATTTGCTGTAAAAATTGTTTTTTAATGGCCATAATGCGAGTTCCCAGCAGCGCACACTTATAACAAAATTTAGAAAACTTGGGAAGCTCTTTGTCCGTAACTCCTATACAAAGGGCATCAATGCTGAGAGTGATACTTCCACCGAATACATGATTTTACCGAGACACCTCATTTGGAACACTTAATAACAGTCATTAGTAGGCTACTGTGAATGGTGAATTTCAGGTTCGGAGCGAACAGTGATATTAGTCAAATAATTTGGAATTAAATTCTAATAGTATATATCCCATATTATAAAGAATAATGGGTATATTTGTCATCACCTTAACTAACCTGCACATTATTTTTTAATTGAAACAGCACCTGAGAAAATGGCAATTTTTCGGTTCAAAGAAGAGAAAACAACATTGAATAGTAAAATAAATTGACTTTTGTAGAATGCAAGTAATAATCTACAAAATAAGATACATTTCAAAAATTACTATGCTTAGAGCATATAAGCCGGTATAACACACTCGAAGTTAATTATATTTTAACCTTCAAGTGATGCTTTGCCTCAGTGCAAATTTTTCCTGAATAGGTGTTTTCATGGTTTAGCATTTCTTTGTTGCAGTGAAACCACCTTTACAAAAACCTGCAAGCGGATTAATGCACATTAAAATAAATGCTTTCACGGCTTAGCACACCTTCATTGGAGCAAAAACACCTTTACAAGGGAATTGCATGCGAATTAGTGCACTTATTCATTTTGAATACGGGGGCAGCACCAGGATTATTTTACAAGAAGGGGGGCACCCATAATATGGGGGGGGGTGATAATTTGGGGGGGGGGGGGGCTCCAGCCCCCTATCCCTTTCTATGTCCACCTCTGGCACCGCCCTTGTTCAAATACTTCAGTGAAATTTTCAATGATTTAAATTTGATTTGAAGCAAACTTGAAGATTGTAATGTAATGTTCGATTCAAAGCGAATTTGAAGATTGTAATGTTTATTCAAATATTCGCACAAGCCTAGTCATTAGTCATAAGATTACACTGTACTGCATGTGACATAGTGCTGACAATTGCATTGTATTTACTGCAAAGACAGCATAACGGTTTTTAGGGTCCTTAGGGTGAGATTCGCTCTAGCAAAAAGAAAATATTCTGGTATGACACCTTCTATGTCACGCACCATGTATCACATGCACAGAGTGCAAGCATTTTTCTGTTTTCTTCATCAAAGCCTGGCAGAGCAGGTAGTGATCGCGTCCGAGGGAATACTCACGCAAATGCTCCCTGTTCTTGAGGTTCATGACGTCCTCGTTGAGCCCCTGGTAATCGTCCTGGTAGTAGTACCCAGATGGCATGCGGGCGTCGTAGGGCTGATAGGATGCTTCTGGAGGAGTAGACATCTCTCCCTGCCCTCCCTTTACCCAGAGGTCACCGGCACCGTCGCTGCCGTTGCCACCATGCACTCCGTCCAACATGTCTGCTGATCCATAAAGCATACCTGCAATGCACAAATATGCTATTAAGCCTAAGGCTTCATAAAGATAAGCTAAGGAGGCAAACACAGTGCACGACACTAAATATGGCTTTATTTGATTCATTACTAGTCATTTTCAAATAACAGCATTCATTTTGACTACGTTCAGCTAACATTCGCACATGCAAGGTTCCTAAAGTCTATATAAGTCCTCTTCTCGCCAATGTAATGGTTGTCTCAGCTTATGCTGTCTCAAAAGGAAGCACCACCCATACACTTCCTAATCCTAATCTTGCATTCAGAAGCCTCAGCTGCTGAAAGCTTGTGCTCCTGTAATACCGAGTTGTGTTATGCAGATATAATATGCTTTGGTTCTGTACTGCCGTGGCGATATTCATAGCGAAATACTGAGACATTTCCATAAAGCTGCATAAATTACTTGCATTTCAAAATGTTTGACACCGAAAAACAATGCCTCATCAGACAAATCATCAAGGTAGCTTTTACCAGTATAGTTTAGGTAGAGCAGAGTTCTCCAGCATCCCAAATGACAGAATGTTGGAATGAATAAGTTTAAAGTTTCAAAGTTATAAACCAAAGCTAATGTCAATGGCACACAACCTAGAAGATGTGTGCATCTTACAAGAATGTCGGAAGTATATATAGTACAGCTGAAATAACCAGGTAGAGGGGCCAGAATGTCAAATAAGTAACACAGTGGGAAACTGCAAGAATTAACTGTTAAAGACAATGAGGCAGAACTAGCAGCAGCATCGACACATAACAGAGGCTGCAAACCAGTTGCCATACTGCAGACAAACAAGGCCATGACAAGCAGATAACAAAGAACAAAAGCGTCCCGGGCTTTGACACGCTCACTCACCATTGGACGTTATCTGGTTTCCGACGTGTCCATTGGCCATGTGTGGTGAGCTACCAATGCTGCCGGCATAGATGGTGTGCTTGTTCATGTCGTCAACATTTGTGTCCAACCCCTTGCCCACATCGTCGTGATAATAAGGTCCACTGATAACCTTCGGTCTTGCACTGCAGCACACAAAAGCAACTTATTGTGAGCTAGACAAACTTACAGAACATTGTCAGTGACGGTGACACACACAAAGTTCTTCAAGATACACCTAACAGCCCAAGTGACTTTTCTGATTCGGATAAGTATAAGCAACTGGTGTCTACACAAATCAACAGCCATCTGCTGGTCATTCAAAACAAAAAATAATGTAGTTAAAACAATAATAATGGCCTGCTATCTTTACATTGGCATCTAAACTGTGTCGTTGCCAAGAAAGACTGCCTGGTGCAAAGTCAACGTTCTATAAACATTTACGATGGCTAGGACATAAATGTATAAATGCTCCAGACAAGAATAACGTATTTACTCGCGTAATGAATGCACTTGCATAATAAAGGCGACCCCAACTTCAGTTGTTCGAATTAGTATTTTTTTCGCTACCGCGCATTAAATGCACCCCTTACACTGATCCGCTGCTGTCGCGCTAACTGACACCTTGCGACTCCTTGCCCGTTGGATCTCTTCAATTTTTATTATGCCGACCACCCTCGGCCACCTCTACTCGCTCCCTCCCCCCCTTCCTTCCGCCTCTCTTTCTTCAATTATCTGTGCCCCACAACCGGTCTCACGAATGATGTGAGTGTAGAGACATCGCAGCTGACAAGCACACAGCGAGCGAAGGTCACGAAACTGCCCGCACTAAGCGACGGTCACTTCCTGCAAATACAAAACTTAAAGGCACAACCACATGCACGCCATTTTCGGGCGACGATGACGGAATGTGCTGTCGCCACGGCTACCATGGCTGTTGTGAAGGGTCATTCATCCCCATCACGCTGCAAGTTTCTAGTAAAACGAGAAAAAATCGCTTGTTGCCCCAAAAAAATAATGATGATGTCTACTATCCCGCGTACATTAAGGAATGCAAGATATAGGCTACCTTTTCCACAATAACTTCTCATGTGGACAGCGAGGTAGCAGCCGTAATTTGACGTTAATCCTGTTATTGGCGGCTTGTTTTGATGCTTCGATAGTAGGTTGCTACAATGTCAATGGCGGCGGCGCGGTCGTCGTGCGAGATCGCCATGAAGTTGGCAAAGTACGGCGTAGCGTGCGCTCCTGTCCGCCCCTCAAGACAGCAGATACTACTGTTCCAATTAAACGATTGCGAGAAAAGAAAGCCGCAAAACGCTTTCATGGAATGCGCGGGCGGCGCAGAGACAGCTTGCAGAACATAGCTCCTTCAACCACAGAAGATGAGTGAATTGCAACAAAGAAGCTGTTTTCAAACAGTGTACGCGTATTTTAATTGCGAAAGACTAAGCGACCTGACTATTCTTTTTGGACTACCCCATTTTTTGTTCATCCTGAAAAAGTTTTCATACAACTTGCTCCGCATAATAAGCGTGCGCCCAACTTTGCTACAATATTTAAAGGAAAAAAGTGCGTTCATTACGCGAGTAAATACGGTATTGATATGATGCATGCTTCATGAACTACATCATTATATTTAGCTGATACGACCATTTTCTTATTCGTAAATGCTAAACAGGATGTCATATTGACTTATTAAATTAGGAATACCGAAGACCACCTAAATGAGTTTATGCTGATAATTGTAGGCCAGCATTGTGAAGTCAGGAAAAGAAATTAATTTAACATGCGTACTAATAAAGTGCTATAACAAGATTTTTGAACTGAAAAAACAATGTTGCAGCAATTTACAATGTTATAGCAATTTGCATAAATTGTTACTCTGCAATATTTTGCAATGTTGTAAACAGCGCATTATGTGCTAGAAGGCATGCAAATAAGTAGCCAGCTTACTTTTGGACTTCGGATTCATAATCCTTCTTGTTTACTGCAAAGCAAGAAAAGAAATCACATCAGTCATCTGTTGTGCACACAACAAAAACTAAGAGTGAAACAAAAATTTATTAGGAAGTGCACACATTATGAACATAATGGCACAGCAAGAGTGTGCTGGGGTAACTAACATGAATGGAGCGCCAGTTCATTGTATACTATGAATGATGTTGTAGGAGATTACTGTGCGAATACCCAACCAAGCAGGAACACACGAATGCTTCGTATGCTGGTCAGCTTTAGCCTTTCAGTGTCTCAAAAACTTTAGTTAAGTGCTACACAGAGCAAGTAGACAGTAGGTATACATCACTATTGTAGCATAGTTATTATTTTTAGACTGTTTATTACGGATCATAATGAAGAGTCCGTTCTCTCTAGTGACTCTTCTTGTTTAGAAAGCATATTGCACTGCTTACATATACATATGGCACTGATTACTAACTATGCCTGGCATCGCGCCAGTTAGGTGGGTTGTACTGGTGTTGGCCGAGTCTCTTGCTCCTATCCACCAATGTGCAGTAGAAAATCTGAGGTGCATTTCACTATCAAATCGCTTCGTCTTTTTCAGGCTAGTTTTTCATGGTATCACAGGAGGCATACCTCTAATTGAAAATTCACTATCAGAAATTATGTCGTATGACAACAAATTAGTAAATACGGAAGCATGAGACACAAGGTGTCAATGAGGGGCATCTCAAGAATTTCTACACGAATTTGTCCTTATTCTGCTTCTAGAATGAACAGCAATATCAATATCCCGCAGTATTGATTAACTGTGATTTACAATTTTGTTGACTGCATTTCACACCCTTCATTCAAGTTCCAAATGCCAATAATAATGCAGACTTTTCCAGCTGCAATAAAAGTATCAATCGTGTGAAGAATTAACTGGCATGAAAGAAATTTCGTACAACCCATTTGTGACTGACAGGAGAAACCTCTTTGAGCACCGATACACTGCGCACCAATAGTAACATTTGGTGAAGCATTTGGTTAAGGTGCCGCTAGCATACTTTAACAGAGTTCTTATGGTAAGCATGTCACGGTCGTTCTCTCTCATGTCGCAGACATTGTTTAATCACCTTTGCTGGCTTTCCTCTTCCAGCAGCAGCAGACAAATACAACCACAAGGAGGAAGAAGAGCCCCCGCAGCCACTGCTACAATGATGACGACGTTCATGGTCTTGATGGTCACAGGAGCACCCACTGGATGAAGACTGTTCTCGGTTGTCATGGTGAACTCTGTGCAGGGGCAGAAAAATGCGGCAAATCAGCAACAGACATCACATTTGTTTTAAGTAAGTCATTTTGTTACACAATTCACTGTCAATGACACTTTTTGAGCACAATACAAAGACTGAAAACATAGTGTGACTAATTAGAATCTGGCATTCACTTCCCTATTTCAACCTTTAATTGTCAATGGCTTGTTTGTATGTGCATTATGAGATTCCCAACATCCGGTGTGAAACAAAGCCCCATGCAAAGATAAGTAAGACCAACGTACATGCAATGTGAATGCATTGAACTTTTATAAAAATGTGCCTCTCGAGTGCCCAAAATGTTGAAATTCAGGGTTCTGCAGGGTGGAACAGCTGACACTCACTGAATATCTCTTGAATTGTGCACGTAATTACCTATACAATAGGTATATGCACATGTGCATGCACAGAACTTGCACCGACCCTCGGAAAAACCTCATTTTTCTGGTTCACATTATCGTTACGTCTGAAATTGCTCTGCCTCACCGTTCCGGATGATTTATTGAGTTGGTAGAAACTTATAATGACAAAACTTCAAGAAATAATCGCCAGCCTTCAGTTTGTCTGCTTTCCTGATAGATTTCGCTAACAATACACCATTGTACTTTGATGAGACAAACTCTAAAACTGGCATAAAATTCCTCTGGGCAACACTGACAAGTAATAAGTATGTGCTTTCAAGAACTACCAAACAGATATCGAAGGGACTTTCGTGTCAGACACTATGAGGAGAATTAACAGTGTCAATATCATTTGTGCCAAAAGTTGGCAAAGGTGTTGCCATTGCGAAAAAATTGAAATGATGCTTGGTCTGGCAACGCAATTTCTTGAAGAGTTGTCTTCGTTGACCTTACTGCGCATACTTTTGAAGTGCAAAACTATGACTCTCCAGCTGCACGGCCGAGCTTTGCGACAGCTAAACATTACCTCAAGCAGCACTTACCATCAAAAGGCTCGGCCAGGCGCTCGTCTCCGCACCACGAAGCGTTGCTCTGGAGGCAGAGCAGCACACGGATGTCCACGAGGGCAGCGGCATTGGCAACTTCCAGGGAAATCTGGGGACGCTCGACCTCCACCTCAGCCAGGGCCACCCACTGCTCCTGGCCACGGGCACGACCTTCGACCCTCGCCAAAAGCCTCTCCGCAGTTTGTTCGACGGTGAAGTACACCCGGCCTGTCTCTTGGTCGAATTGGGCAGACAGCGGCCGTGGCATGTCTGAAGTGCCAGGAGAATATTTCGCAATGATGAGTCCGCTTGCAATGACACACGAGGCAGTATGCGAAACAGTTTGCTGTGATAGTCAAAACACTGAACTTTGATGCAATTTTTTTTTCTAAACAGAAACAGTAAGAATGCTGTAGTTGCAGCGTTCTTACTGACCCATCTTCTTATGTGTCTGAAGATGTTTTTTTTTACTATTTAGCTAAAACCCTGAAAAAGCATCAAAGCCACACAAAGAAGTTTGAATATTCAACCACATTTGTTTTCAACTGATACGAAAAAAAAGCTTGCCTGTAAGAAACAGAACTATCAAACAGAAATTTTTTGGTGGGCTAAATTTCAGTGGCATATCACAGAAAATAAATATCTGACGAAGCAATGGCTGGTGCCACAAACAAGGCATCACTGTAATGCTAGTTTTTTTCCAAGCTCCATTTTTTTTGTTACGCAAAGTTTGAAAATATTGACCATGCAGCTACTTGTGTTTGTGCTTTTTGATACAAAATAATGTCCATGAAAAATACTGATGCTAATGTGACACCAATGTAGCTACCTAGCCATAAGTGTTTTCAGTATAATCTTAAAATTTGGGTTGTGCAAGGTGTGCACAATAACAAAATGTCAAGTCACATTAGGTTACGCAAGTATTTCTTTCTTGTACTGCAGGCAAAGGGTGTTGAACAATTGTAAAACTACTAATGCACAAAACAAAAGCAGTTTATAACAACTAGTATGTACATCACTGAAAGACTGAGAAATGTTTGAGGCCCTTACCTTTGAGGTTAACCTTTGTTTGCACTGTAATCTCTTCGGAGTACGAGCTGAATCCTCTTGCGTTAACAGCCACAACCTTCATTACATACTCCGACTTAGGCTCCAGACCTGCAAGACATCAGGCAATTACAAAATTTTAAAAACTGGCAGTGTACATGGAAGACCTCAAATGCACTGCAGCAGTATATGAAACATTAACCTAATGTTAATGCACAAGAGGATTCATTGATTATTTCCAACTTCAGCTCCACGCACAAAAAAAATGAAGGTTATGCGGACCAGTTATGCGGGACAGAGGTGTAAAATTCAATAGAAGCAAGAAACTTTTATGAGGGGCAATCGGCTTAAAACTTCCTCACCAGTTATGGTGCACGGGTTGTGGGATCGGCAGGACTCATTCTTTGTTTGCCCACTGGCAACGTTGGAGTAAGTGACGACAAATTCCGTGTTGCTGAAGCCTCCATTGAAACCTTCGGTCCACTGCAATGTGACCTTGTCGGAGTCGCTGCTCACAGCTACAAGACGACCCGGTGGGTCAGGTGCACCTGAAACAGGCACAATGTGCACATTGCATCAGAACACAAACTACCTATGCATGCACTGTGCAATTGATAACACTGTACTGATTGATACAAACACAGCAATCAGCTGAACAGGAATTTAGGCACAAGGAAATGCGGTTTACTTGGCGACGTAAATCGTGCAGCGCAAGATGTAGTAGGACGCGGTGGTTTTGATTTGTCACTTGAAAAGGGTGTGATTAAGATGACTGCACAGAATAGAATAACACAGGACAACGTGCCAGTAGCAACTTCCATATTTTACTGAAGAAAGCACTTACTTATAACCAAGGAAGTCGGGTGGCCTTTCTCAGATGGCACGTGAAGTGATTGTACTGAGTGTTGGTGTCGTTCTATCCTTCTCTCTCTCTTTTTTTTACTTGCTCGGGTAATTGGGATTACTTGCATTATAAATATTTTTGTAAAGAAAATGTGTCAGTTGCTAGCAGCACATTGTCCTGCATTCCTCTCTTCAGTGTAGTCGTCTTAATCGCACCTTTCCATCCCATGGACATAGTTTGAGCTTTTGAGAAGACTAATTTTCGTTTACTTAATAGTAGCACATATATAACACTAATGAAAGCAGCATTAGAACACAATGCAGATGCAAAGCTTTAGTTTTAAAGAAGACTATCACGCTGTTGAATACATCATATTGTAACAGACGGTGAGTGGGTCACTAAGCTTGATGCCCCAAGTAATGAGGCAAGTCAGAAAAGAAGCCATGTGCCATTTACAAAGAATATGTTCGCCTTCCTGGTTGTGTGGTAGTTTTCTTTCAGAATCACAAATCTTCAGAAACAAAAGTGCCAACAGCACATAGAGATAATCAGCAAAGAATTGAACGCAGTTTATTCGAACTATCCCTCAGTTAGTTCTTACGTTCACACTTTCATAGTTTTGAAGTACATTGAACCTACCAAATGCCAAGTGAAGGACAACACAATATACTCACTCTTTCTGACGAGCTTCAGTATTGTACGCTGCACATCGCCGACTTGGTTCCAGGCACGGCAGGTGTAGTCACCGTAGTCGCTTTCCTTCACGTCTGCCACCGACAAGGCACCAGTGTAGAGGTCATCTCCGTCGTCAGTCACGTTGGTGGCGTAGTTGGCGTAGCGTTCGAGAATGCGACCTTTGTATACCCATTCGAAAGTAGGCTCGGGGTAGGCCTGCATCTGACAGCGCAGCACAGCCATGTCTCCAGGGTCAAAGGCCACTCGATTGTAGGTGTGCCTCACTTGAGGAGGGTCTGCGGGACGCAAAATCCACGAGTCTTCATTGCACAGTGTAAATGAAAATGCTTTCCGTTATCTAAGGAGAGCGCTGGTAGCTTTTTAATCCATTACACAAAAGCTCCAGTGACTAGGCAGCATAAAACTTAACTAAGGTAGGTCATTTCCTCCTCAGTGCTGTGAAGGATTTAAACTATACGTAGCTGCTACATGACTTAACCATCATTTACACGTAACATGGTTCTAATAACTTCTGCACAGAAATCAACCTTCATGATGTCAAGACAACTCTCGTTTAGACATTGAACATTCATGCTTCAAGGACTGATTAAATATGTATCACAGATGATTTTAAAGTCTTGCATGTGTACAAAGCAAAACAAATAAAAGTGAACAAATTTGTCAATCAAGTATACTGACTTTTGTCTTATGATACATGTTTACAGTGTCACACATCAGACAAGCTGACTGCAAACATAGAAAACAGTTAGTCAACAAAAGCAAGATGGGTTGATAGGTGGGACATTTGATAGTCAACAGAAGAACTTACGTTCGATCCTAAGCATCATCTCTGATTTGGCAGCACCGCCGAAGCCATTGTCGAACAGGCAGGCATATTTTCCTCGGTCTTCAGGGGTGAGAGCTCGTTGAAAGGTCAGGGTGCTCTGAACCGAGAACACTTCATTGTCCTCGATGTTCTCGATGGTCTTGATTTCAAAGCCGGACTCGGGGCTCATCTGTAGTTCCTTGTCTCGGTGGGTCCAATGCACTTGTGGCTTAGGCTTCCCACGGGCACGGCATGTCACGGACTGGCTTTGATCTCCCGCTTTGCGAATGATTTGGGGCCTCAGGGGCACTATGATGGTAGCCGCTTCTGCAAGTTCCCAAGCGACAGGACACAGTCAGTTTGAATTCTGTGGGTTTTATCAAAGCCAACTGAATTTAGAGAAATCTGCATCGGGGAAGTCAATGTAGTGCTACAATTACAGTTATTATGGCACATGAGATAGTTATGCAAGATGAGGCAATGAACAATTTTACAAACTGTTCTATTTTAAGAAACACCTAAGTGCTTACAAAGAACTTGACACATAGCTATGAGGTCAACAGAAACGCATCTCTGATTTCAAAAAGTGCTCTAAAGCTAGAAGCCTTGTGTAACTGCTGATGCTAACGGGTGGCTTTAAGGTCTAGGGAACAGAGAAGCAGCCCACCTAACTAGCTGTAAAAAGGCTGAAGGCAGAAAAATGCAGCATTAAAAACTGTTCTCACCATTGACTGCCAGGTAGACCGATGCGATGGACCCCTTTCCCAATGCGTTGTGCGGTTGGCAATAGTATCGTCCCTCGTGGCTGCTGTGCACGGAGAGGAAAGCTGTGGTTGGACCGGTGGCCGAGGTCGATGTGCTCCTGTCCCTCACGCCACCAGCGATATTCGGGACGTGGCCAGCCGGGAGGACGAGCACCACACGTCAGCACAAAAGGGCGGCCGGCCACAGCTGTAGGGCCTTGTGGAGTGATCTCTGCCTCTCCAGGTTTGTCTGCAAATGAACACAAAATGGTCCTATTGTGCAGTTCACTTTTTTCTTGCAAATACTAGTATCAGGGTGACTGGAAATCCTGAAAAATATTCAAAGATTTCATGATAGTCTCAAATTCATTCTCAATGGTGCAAATGTCGAGATTTAGCTACGGTAGTACTGAGCCTTTGTGCACCATGTCAGCTTTGTTAACAACTAGACCCACTGTTCAGTAATACTAGTTGTATGTTGGCAAGATGCAGGAGTTCATCCAGTATGTGCTCAGGAAAAAATTATTAGCCTTACTTATCAAGTAACTCACAAACAGAACATAACTGCTCATCTTGAAAAATCTCCGAAGCACGAAAAAATAGTTAAAAGTCCCTCCACTCACGTCGCACGTGCAGCACAACAGGAGTCGTTGCCGACCACTTCTGTATGGATGGCAGTAGCAGAAGGTCGCATGATGACTGTGGCCTGGCATATGTAAGTTCCAGCGTCCTCAGCCGTGACACGGTCCAAACGTAGTGTGTCGCCCTGCAGTGCAAACTGGCCGTCCCCTTGTTTCGTCCACAATATGGACTGTGGTTCAGGGTTCGAGGCAACATTACACTTGATGGCCACATTCTCTCCTTGGGCAGCTTCCTGCTCTGGCAGCACATTCACACGGGGTCCATCTTAGAGAACGAAGAAAAAGGGCAGTGCATCAAAGGCTTGTCGAAAAAGAATAGTAATAGAATATGGAAGTGCATGCATGACAAAGTCTAGTAAACACGCGTCATGTTGATATTCATATTAACAGGGTACCATAACTAACTTCGAAATAACTTAGCCCAACTGATTTAAAGTGAAGCAAGCTACATGCCTGCCCGAAGTCTGGACTATAGTCTTTCACAGTCAGCCCCTAATACTTTGCACAATCTACAGCCTCTTCAACATTCTACATTTTCATGAAAGGAAGGCTCAACTAACATCAGTAATATATTGACGATGATACAAAGGAAATGCAGTAAAAATGTATTATTAAAACATCGTAAATGGTATCCAAGCCACTTCCATGATAAAAATCAGCCAAATTGGTATAAGAAGAAACCAGGCACATTTACTATGGTAAATGCTGCAGATAAGATAAGAAGTTGCTAGCACATGAATTAGTACCGGTTCCACCAATCACGCTGATTTTTTGACATTTTTTTCTTCAGCCCGGCAATGGATACAGAGAGCAGCATGCTTGACATGAGATTTCTCTGTGCATGCATTGGTTCAACATACATGTGCTCAGAAATGGCATGAGTACTTACACAGCACACTAAGATGCAGCTCCACTTGTGAAGGCTGCAGGATTCCGTTGTCAGCAACACAAGCATAGTTTCCACTATCTTCAGGAGTTACAGATGGAATGGTGTGGTTGTAAGTGTTCGACAGTAGCTGGCCTCGCTTCATCCACCGCACGGATCGCACAGGAGGATTGGCCAGCACGGAACAGGTCAACGTGGCATCAGTGCCCACCATCACGTTCAATGGGTTGTGGGGACCAACCGTGATCTTGGGTGCATCTTCAAAAAAAAAAAACACACACACACACACACACACAGCTTTTATTATTGCAAAGTGAAATCATTAGCACATAAATGGCATAGAGATCAATGAACAACGGGTGTCATGTTCCAAGTGCACAAATGTAAGCGCACAGTGAAGAGCACCAAACAATTGAAAAACAAGTCTTATGAAAAACTTGACCAGCACACTATTTTTGTTCACAAAATATTTTGTAAAATAACAATTCACTTGTATAGGGAAACAATGCCCACCCTCATGATGAATTGTTTCCTCTGCTTGATCTTAATTTCTATCACATTAATGAAGGGAGTATGTTCTGTTTACTCGTGGCCATGTAGAGTAAGTGTACGCCACTCACAACTACACTCTGAAAACTGTTTCTCCCTGTCAGCTCTGCTCTTGTCCTGAAACAATCGCCATGACCTCACTTTGTTACATTTCCTTCCTGAATTCGGACACTACTGCCGCTACTTCCTGGCAAAAATGCTTTGATGCATTGATAGTACGTGCGATTTTTGTGACCAGAATGTACCTGGGGCAGTAGCATTGATGCAAGGAAATTTAAGGTACACAATATAGATGACAATCATTGTTGTGTTACTTTACAGACATACAAAAGTTAATGTCCCAAAGGGTGTCAACTGTTTTAGGGTGCATGCAGAATTGCCTACGAATGACATGGAACTGTGTATACCACAGCGATTTCCAAAAAAGTGTTCCCAGTACTTTCTCAATTGGCTCTTTCCTGCACAACAATGGCTGCCAGCTATTCAGTAACATCATATTCCTCTACCCCCACCCCCCCTTCATCTTCTTCTACGCCGTACTTCGCGCAGGGCAAGAAGGGCACTCACAGTGGACGCGGATCGTGGTGCGCGCCTCGTACGCGCTTCCCTGCGGCATGGCGCGGTTTGTGATGCGGCATCGGAACTCGGCGCCGTCATCCTCCCGTCCGGGGGTCAGCGTCAGCACCGCGGCCGTGGGCCGGTCGCGGGCTCCTCCCCGGGTCAACGCCGACGGCAGCCGTTCGTCTGCGCGGAACCACTCGACGTCGGGGTCCGGACTGCCACCCTCGCTGGCGCAAGTCAGCGCCAGGGGCTCGCCCTCGAGTGCCGTCGGGCTGGACGGCGTGATGCGAGGCTCACCCGGCGCGATGAGCACTGTCACGTCGTACGCGGCGTTGTGGACGTCGGCGCCGCTGCCGCTCTCCTTGAGCTTGCACTCGTAGTGGCCGTTGTCCTTGTCGTACTGGGCGCGCGAGATGAGCAGGGCGTAGCGGCCCTCGGCCGGGTTGTACTCCACGCTGTAGTGAGGGTCGAGCGCGCTACCGCTGATGGCCGCGTTCTCCTTGCCGTGTCGGTTGGTGCGGAACCAGAAGTAGAGCAGGTTGCGGCTCGCCAACGCCGGGTTGAAGTTGCACGAGAGCCGCAGGCTCTCGCCTTCGACCACGTCACGTCCTTCGGGTTCCAGGGGCGTGCTCCTGCTCGACCGCGCCGCCAGCAGCACAGCCAGAACTGTGGGAGAGACGAAATATGCGAGTGATATGAAGCAAATATCAAGCAGCTATAACAGGAACAGGCAACATAAAGGTAATGAACTGGAAAAGCACCGATTCGCAAGTGACATATTAAAAGTCCTCTGCATTCTTTCCTCGGTCCTAATTGCTTATGACCCAGGATGATAGTCAAATTGAGTCAGAAATTCATTTGCATTTTTATATAGTATATTGTAAATAAACACACTTCGCGCAAAGACGGCGATGATGATGACGACTAATACTTGCCATATCCAGAAGCAGCTCTGTTTCTGCCCCTATAGTTTCAATATATTTGTCGCCATGGTCACCACCCAAATGTAGTGCTCTGTTTCGCAGCTTTTCACGGCAGAGCCTTCGTGACAAACGCGATGAATGTGATTGTATTTCACCTCATGTAATGTCGAAAGGGCACTATTATTTAACTTCTAGGATGTGAAGCTCCAGCTCTCAATGCATCCTAGTATACAAGCCCGAGGTATCCGTAAAAACGTTGTACAGCCACAGTGTGAAAGCGAGATATTGTAGGACTGACGGTACATCACGTACAGGGAAGATGTTGTTGATGGTATGACACTGCCCTAAACTTACATTTGCATATTTAAGCTAGCTCCGGCGAATAGACTAGCAGAAAACAAAAACGCGCAACGGACATCGTACATAATGGCGCACTTAAGTATGGCGTCACCTTGATTGCAGTTCGGCCATAATAATAAAAGAAACTCTCTGCTGCATAAACGCTCGCTCACTCGACAGACCCCGGTGGGTGGTCCTGTAGTTTCGCGGGTCACTGGCGCCGCGGGCATAACGAGGCGACCACCTAAGGACAAGCTGAGATTCGCGGCGAAACACGTCGAAGCGTTCATGCCGCAATGACGACACCGTGAAGTGCCACCAGCGGACGTCTTTTCAATCAGAACACGTGTCAACGCGCAACCCCCGGCAATACTCGCCAGCGCGCAGCGGGATAAGACAAAAGCGGCGCGAGCGTCATTGCCGAAATAAATGGCGGGAACCGTGTGGAAACGCGCCAAAAAGAAAACGCGTTCGCGCGCCGTGAGGGATGCACCTGCCAGCGACGCCGATCAACACCCCCGAGCCGAGCATTTAATTTCGCCCCAAGGGTAACAGAGCAGTTGGGAGAGAAGGGAGGATACCCAGCCAAGCAGGCAAGCATTGTTTCAAGCAACGGCTATGCCTCCACACTCCCTCGTGAGTTCGGAAGGAGGGAGGGGGTTCGAAGGCACGTTCGCTGTGTCTGAGAGATCGGGGCAGCAAGAAGAGAACAAGAGGGGCAACGTGCTTCATCAAGGTCGCTCCTGGAAGCAGCACGCCGAAGGTGGGGGTTCGAGAAAGCCCGCGCTCGTCGTGAGGTGGGGAAAAAGTAATCACGGGGGGCAGAACACGGCGAGATCCGCCCGTTCCACCACCACCCGAAGAGCGCTGGCGCATCAGCAGGAGAGCGACGACGTCTCTTGGACTAGTCCCGTAGCCAGCTGCTGCCTCAAGATCGGTGGTACACCCCCCTCTCCCTCCTTTCTTTTTCTCAGCGGTGGGGTAGATCTGTAGCCACGGGCAGGGTAGGCCTTCCCCCAACGCCGACTACACCCCACCACCACCGCTGCCATCACTAAATTCTGCCAGCTTTCTTGCGCGCAGGTCGCCCCTCTTAATGACAACCGCTCCGGGAAAGGAGCACGAGATTGAAGCCCGTGCATGCGAGGTGATGTCGGGCGGAATCCATTTGGATGAGAGAGGAGGGAGGAATGAAAATGCAAGGGCAAGGACGGCCGTCGTTGTGAGGGGCACGAGAGCTCCTGCCATCGTCTCGAATAAGACGTCTCTATCAGCGAGGTCCGGGCCTCCAACATCTGCCCCGGAGAAGGACGCCCCCCGGTGAAGGCACAGTCACCACCAAGTGCCAATTTCGGGGCACGCAGCGGCGCTTCTGCTTGCCCCCCCCTTCCCCCTCTCTCAGCTGTTCTTTCTTTTAACGTTGTTCCGAGTTGCTCTCGTACATGCTGCAGTTATTGTTTCTTAGCTTTTCTTGAGTTTCTGCCCTCATTGTCGAGAGGCACGCGCACCGCAGCCCCAGCGGCGTTCCAGGGAATTGAACAAAATGTTATTCGCCATTCATTGTTTCCATGACGCTTTGCGCATCAGTATATTATGCAGCACGGCAAATAAAGCGACCAGTGCAGAGTGTCAAGTAAATGTTGTGCACCACTAGTTAATGAGCGGAGTGAACCAAACAAGTTCAATCTTTGCTCTTAGCTGCCGCGGTACCCGGCCTCGCGCCCTTTGTCTATCAAGTGCCATCAGCAAATACTCAGCAAAAAACAATTTCGTGATGATGTTGTTGTTCGTGTTGTAAATCTAGCAGTGTAACGTCTTGGAAACTGCGGCCAAGGTAAACAATTGGCGTTAACAAGCACGGATACTTAAAAAGACGAAAATACTTCCGCTGAAAATCACTCAAAAGGGAGAGGCGCACTGGAATTTTGTCGTCTGCTGGTCGTTGCGTGTGGCTTCTTTCAAAGACTTCTCGCAAAATGGCGTCCAGCAATGTCCGGTTTCTAAAATGACCTCTAGCGATGCATGGCATAGAGAAGCACTCTATAACACACGACTTAAAACATTCTCCCACTGCATTCTCATGTGATGCAGCGTTCTGACGCAAAGTGCAACTACACTGCACTACTGCAGCATCACGCTATGATGCCACAAACTTGGCGGTGCCATTAGAGAAGCCCTTGTTTGCCCAAGTGAAATCAGGTCGCTGCCGTAATCCCCGCCATCATGGAAGCGCCTTTAACAAATAAACTGCAAAGTTACTCAATTGGTTACTCATTTGAGCTTTTATGGATGATCTGCGTTAATCCCGCCAATTATATGATTCCTCTGCGCCTCCTTCAGAACTACACAGGCAATTAACGTTTACGCACTATGCCAAGCGTACTGTGGTGGGGTTTCCAAGGCCCTGCAGATAAGTGAGGTGACTCCACACAAGAATGGGTAAACCCCGGAAAGACGCAGGTCCTAGCTTCGATTTCCAGACCGGGACCCAATTTTTTTGTATGAACTCTGTAATACTTTTCCCGAGAAACCCTCGTCATTTCCCTATGCCGCTCCGTACCACTCGAATGTCGATTATTATTATTCACTGGGCAAGATTACAAGTGTCATACCATCCTTGATTTATTCGCAGGTCTAACGAGCTTGCACCATAGACAGGACAGCGCATATAACACCAGGGTCTTCTTTTAGTCTGAAGGACCGTGGTAGTACGTAGAGGCAAGACGAAAGTATTGACGTGTATTGTTTCACGTTGTTTCTTTTATTAATATGAGTGCTCACCGAACACACCTTCTTCTTCAGGTGTATTTACTTATTTCGCTGTTTCACAGATTCTTTTTCTTTTTCTCACTGTTGGTTCACACAACAGGAAACACTGCTGAACCAGATTCGTCCGGGCATGGTGAATAAAGGTGTCCGTGTCGACACGCGGGAAGCCGCTGCTGGCTGTTCTCCTAGTGCAGGCTACGGCCAGCAGGCGGCATTGCCTTCCCGAACGTTCGCCGCCTCGCGCAACCTTCGCCATCGCATTGCATCGGCATCAGCTCCTCCCCGCTCGATTGGCTAGTGCAGCAGCAGCAGCAAGCCAACCAGCCTACCTCCAAGGAGGGGGGGGGGGGGGGGGGGCGACCGCGTTGCTGTGTCCCCATTGCGCATGCAGAGCACGGGCGCGCACTGTAGTGACGCCAGCCGCGGAAAGGAGAAGAGAACCGGAAAATGGAACCCGTCGGACAGGTGGCCCCGCGAGGTCGACAGCGCGCCTCGGGGGCTGACAGCGCGAGGCACAGCTCCTCCTACCGGGGCTCTCCTTTAGCACGTGCTGCTACGGCACGAACTGCGTCATGTTTCTTCGTATTCTTTTACTATACATGCGTTTTACCGCTTCGCTTCTGGCGCTGCTGTGCCTCCGCGGGGCTCTTTTGCATAGCAAAATTTATTATACGATACGCTGCTGCAATGCAGGCGCACCTCGCATGTTTCGCCTCCCGTCAGCTCCGACGATATTTCCTGCGCACTGTGCTCGCTGCGATCGCCTCATCTCCTCCTTTAGCCTCCCTCGCCTGTACAGCTTCGCCGTACAGACGACGGCGTGTGGTGTGTTTTTTTAATATTTGCCCCGTCTCACTCGACGGCCGCGGAGGCAGTCACGGTTTTGTGTTTTACTTCGTCCCCGGCGAATTACGGCGCGTGCGTCGGTCTGGTTAAGTATACATTTACGTTAATGCCGATAGCTTTTTCAATATGTGCAGGGGTCGGGTCATTAACTGCGTTCTTGCCGAACGCGCATGCAGGCTCGACGTGCACGGAAGCTGCCGTCACGTTCTTGGCGGTATTCCTTTTAACTCGTCGGAAAACTACCGCAGCGTTATGTGTATACCCGCCGATTTCGCAACCTGTGCTCCTCTTAGGTTACGCCGCGCAAATCGGTTCGCTATGAGTGTTTTGCGATTTCCTGCACGCGACCAGCGGAATGATGTTGTTGGCTTGCTCAGCTCTACAGCTCGCTTCGAACGAGGATGCAAATTTTCTCGCGCGAAGGGCAGGCTTGAGTCCTCCCTTGCCCCTGTCACTGTACCAATTTGAACAGACGAGAAGAGAGAAAAGAGACGCAAGGCGGAAGAAAAATGTCGAGCTATATCCTTAAATGGAGAGTTAGAGAGAGAGAGGGGGGGGGTAGTGACAAATGTATGCAAAGGTGAACAAATATTCATGTATTCATGTACAACTCTACTACGTACTTATTTTATGTCATGGACAGACAATACGCGTGTATGTATGTATACGTACAGTCGCGAGCAAAAGTTTAGAGACCAGTGGTTCCCGAATATTTCTTTCCCCTGTGCCCCCTAAGAAGGCCGGTTAAAGTCGAATGACGCAGCCTAAGTGCGCATGTTTTGCCGATCC